AGCATTGGACTACTTGTTATATTGCATGACGAATGTTTTGGTGAATGCTCTTGAATTCGTTCGTTGTTCGATGATGATAACGATCGATCGTACCTCTGCACGATATTTGATTTATTCATTGTGGACGTTGAAGGATTGCTAGGCATTATTGAGATGCCCGAATTGAAGAAGTACTTTCGTTAACATAAAAATTGAGTTTATGAAACGTAGCGGGGGTTTGCATAAGGCTTAAAAGTTGAAGACTCGACAATTGTCATAGGAAAGCGACAAAACGACGAAGAGATGACGTAGCGTGAATGGATTTGCTCAGTGAACTTAGTTTAGATTCTTCCCTGTGATTTTTGAAATGTCTACAGATTGAGATTCTCTTCAAACGTCCAGAATGTCAGCCTAAAAAATCCAAAAATTTATCGCGAATAAAACGAGATCAACAATTTGTTGTGATGTTCGTCGAACAACGAGATTACTCACACGAAAATTGCAGAGAATTGTGCTCGCCTTACGTGTACGGTTATGGAGCTCATTTCATATTCACCATCACCAATGGCATATGCTCACTTTTGCTTATCTCACCGTATGCTCGCGATTTAATCGCTCTGATTCGGTTCGTGAAACAATTTTGTTTTCAATCGCTTTATGAACATTCTTAGTTGTATTGAGTCATGAGCCAATATTTGAATGTGTGCGATGTGATTGCATACATAATCACTCCGTTTTCTAGTGAACTGAATTCTTCGTCGATATTCACTTGACAAACTTTCTTTCATGGCCAATGAAGTTGAAAAATGCAATGAAGTTGGTGAAATGCAAAAAGTAGAGATATTTATTTAATTGCAGTTTTGCGCTCGCAAATTTGATTATTGGTCTTCTTAAATGTGCACAGTGTAAAGTAATTAAACTGGATGATAATAACAACATTGGAGGATTGTTTAGATAGATGTTGCAGTTGAAAGTTAGCAACAAAAATAGAGCAAGTTATAATGAAATTGTTATAGCAGGTTGTGGTCAGGGTATCGAGTCCAGAGTGCGGACCTTTTTGTTCCAGTTGAATCTTTAGTTGCTTAAACATGCTTCAAAATCTTGTCCGATTGCACTGAAATAGGATAGTATTTGAGATGTGGGAGCAAAATAGAACAGAATCACTTGGAAAACGAGAGTGTAGATTGAAAACGAGAGTGTAGATTGATCGAAAAGGATCAAAAAAAAAAAAAGAATCAAAATAGAACAGTTCATCGAGAGTGCGGAACAGAGATGTGATTGGTTGCTATGCATTGATGTGGGTGACGAGCACGCGAGTTTTATGAAACAATATGTGAAGCTGAATGTGGCAAGCGTTGCATGCGATTTCATGGTTAATTGAATAATCATTCACTGAATAATCACGAATACATCGCACTTGAGACAATCGAACTTAAGCTGTAGCTATGAAATTGTGTTTCTCACCGTGAACAATGCCGCTCACGAGTGGGTGAGAAAAAGCAAAGGTGCAACGATTTTATCGCGACAAATTGAACTTTTTAGAATCATTGCAGTGGTGTCTTCGTTTCTGTCTTGAAATTAGCCATTAAGTACTGCTGCACTTGGAAAGAGAAAGGTGTAATGATTTGGTCGCCATCTTGGCCCAGACGGGCGATGGCTGGGAAGAGGTTGAGAAGCAGTGATACAGGACCTCGATTATGTACTTGAATCGTATTCCAATATCAAAATGTAGTTCATCTTTGAAATAGAAATGCAAAGAATTTGAAGTAAATCGATCAAATTTTTTTGAACCGAATGATCCATGAAACATTTTGGTGGCATGAAAATTGAATCCGAAAATGTTTACCATCATCCGCAGATTCCGACCGATTGAAAATTAGATGAGATGCGGCACGACGTAGTGTCTTATGGACTGATGGCTCACGAGACATCCGGATAAGCACGAGAGGTTCATATGGAGTAGTTCAAAAGAAACAGTTCTTGCCTACAATGATCACTTTGAATTAATCTTCATATTGTTTTAAGTTAATTAATCACTTATTCAGGTTGACCGTGAATGGATTGCAGAATGAATTTTATAAAAGCAAAACTGATCTATGCGTAACTCTTATTGCACTCGGTTGTTTTTTACTAACTCTGATCGTAAGTTTGTTTTCACTCGAATTTCATTTTGTAGATAATAAAAGGTAATTATGACAATATATTCGTTGTTATCATCGAATGTTACTCATGAGATTCTTTGCTTCAATCACTTAAATACAGACACTGCTATTTCAGAGCCGAAGAAACCATCAATTTTCTAGAATCTCGTTTTGAACCTTCATCGAGTGATTACGATCTTACAATTAGTGCTAGTCTTAATTCGGTTCCTCTAAATTCCCTCTCAAAATGATTCAACTCTATAACAAGAAGTTCATTTTCAAACTTTAGATTAATTATATCGATGTGGCATTCGATTTATACAATTCAATCAGTGTTTTTGGTTACCCGTTGCTATTCCCTTACATAAACTTTCCACTCTTCCTATTTGGATTGCATCACAGTGTTCTACGCACACACAAACAATGCGAACAAGTTATTTATGAGGTTAACTCGTTCATTTCTTCTAAATACTTTCGATTTCACCAAATTCTGATAACATAAAATTTGTTTTCTAATAAACAGTCAAATGTGTTCTCGTCCTACAACTATTCATTCGTTTGAGGGTCAAGATTTGTGAAACTGGCTTATGATAATGCCGAATACTTTCAAATAGCTACTGTCAAAGTTAGCAGAGTCACTCGACAACAGAAGTCGCACAAGCAATTACTAATGAATGATTGAAATAAGCGAGTTCTTTTTTAGGTGTACGAAGAGGATATGTATATTGAAGTGACGTGTTATAAATGTCTTAATCTCTCGAACTGTTCAAGATCCTCGAATGTGTACACAATTGAATCGAGACCATCACTGGTACATCGACATTCAGCGGTTGCTGTCGGTGATAATACACGGCGGATTGGCAGTTTACGTGACTTGGATAATTGGTTACAAAATAAAATGCAAATATCAATCGCACCTTCGGATGAGAAAAATATTTACTATTGAAAATCTGATCCAATTTGTAACTGTTTTCAAATTTTGCTATTGTTACTATTCAAAATTACTATGGAAAACTTTTCTGTTTGTGTTTATATCTTATAATATGAGTATTTTATGAGCTCTTGCCCATTCAGCAATACCTTGAGCCGTGTTGCAGGGAATGGGGAATTTCGAGCGCTCCCTCCCCATCTCTAAATTTTTTTTAGGCCGAATGCGAAATTTCGTCCACGAGTTTTCCCGTCCGCAACTTTTTTTCCATCCCCGCAACATACTGTCCTGAACATTGGACCAACATCTTAATTTAATTTCAAACTGATTCAAGAAAACGAAATTTTTTGATAGTTTCTCATTTGCTGACAACGAACGGCTGTTGAGTCGAACATAATGCATATTTGTGTGTGAAGAGTATTAAGAGATGTTGAATGGATTCATGGAATAAAGTTGATGAAATGAATTTCTGCAAACGAGAAAATGATTGTATCGATTTGGAGTGAAGCAATGACACATTCGTTCAACATTTCCAATCACAAATCTCTTATCATAAATAAAACCTCAAAAAGATTGTTTGATGCACTGAGCGAATCGCTGATTTTACTTTGCAAACCTTTTAGCATCAATTACATTAATAATTGATGCTATACATTAAATATTAGTGTATGGCACCAATTACATTAATAAAATTTAATCATCTAATGGTAAGGAATTCAGAAATGTTGAGAGAATTAAAATTTGGAAGTGAATGTGTCAATTTGAAGTGATTTGAATGAATGCATCTAATCAATGGTTCACAAATACGCTTCGATAGCCTTTATTAACAGATATGATGAAT